CCCCCCCCGCGTGTGTATGTGTGTGTGTGTGCGTGTGTGTGTGCGTGTGTGTGTGTTGTGTGTGTGCGTGCGTGTGTGTGTGTGTTTGTATGTGTGCGTGCGTATATGTGCGTCTGTCCAGGTATTTCAACTCGGCACAGCAAAATTTTATTAGTGGGCCCCTCGACCGAGTGCCACCCCAGGACCGCGCTACAAACCCTCACGCAAGTTTGGGTCCCGCGTGCGAAAGGGCGAAAGTTCTAGCGGGAAAACCGCCAACTCGGGAACCGGAAGAGCTAGAAGGCTGAAATTTTGAGGTTATGTTCCCCACCCACACAGAAGTCAAAAATATTAAATTCAGCCCCCAGGTGTGCGTGGTACTTGCGTACGGCCTCATGAGGGTTCCTGGCGCGAAAATCACTAACTTGGGAACCAGAAAAGCTGGGAGGGGGTTGAATTTTTAAGGGAATATCCCCAGCACATGTACAACTTGAAATCATCGAGCTCAGCCTCCCAGGCATGCGTGGTTATCACGTATAGCCCCTTGAAATTTTCTGGCGGAAAATGGCTAACTCGGAAACCAGGAAAACTGGGAGGCCGAAGTTTTAAGAATATGTTCCCAGCCCCCCGTAAAAGTTAGAGATATCAAATTCAGCTTCCAGATACGTGTGGTTCTCATGTACGACCTATGAAATTTTTTGGCAAGAAAATTGCTAACTCAGGAACCAAAGAAGCTGGAAAGCTGAAATTTTAACGGAATGTTCCGTGTCCAAGTACTGCGTAGACAATTAACTTCCCCAACTTCAAGGACCAGTATGTTACGAATCCTAGTTACTTGAAGAGATCTCATTACAGCACGTGCCGCAGTGAGCATCGTATGTAGCGAATGATTGCAACAAGTTTGCAGAATTTGCATATGCAGCTTTAAGTACAATCACTCACTTCCTCCTTTCCTCAATCCCCCTGTCTTCTAAAACCTGTTTATTCGTTTAGTTATCAACCACCCACCAGCAGCTTACTTATAAGTAACCGCCGAAAGAGGGTGCCATCGACAGCCTTGCCAGTGGCTGATTACTGTTGACATTTGTTACCACTCGGGCTACTTCCCAAATGCTTTCGTCTCTCACAGACAACGTCTGAATTTTAAGTGATTTCTTTCGGGATCCCGAACACTTGAGACGGTACGGAGAAGTAACAATGCGTAAAACGTACGTACTGGCAAATATTAAGCAATCTGTCTCTAGTCATTGCCCGCTGGCAGCTCCAAACTAATTATGCACAAAAACTGGATGTTACCTGTGCAACCAGAATCGGTAGTAATCGTTGAGAAATGCTTCCTGGCCAAGGTTTTGATAAACATCCATATAATCTGCAAAACAAAACATTTGATAAGATTAAAAAATGAATTTAAAAAAAACTCTATTCACTAAGAAACAAAAGAAGTTAACGAGCGTGAATATGCATGGAAATACATAGGGTGTGAAGTTTCCCAGATTTATGCACCGAACCTGTGCCGGATTAGTAAATATGAAGCTTTCAAGGGTTAGACAAGCCAACTTCAGCAGATTTAAATGTGATAAAATTCAAAGTTCACTATCCCTCACGTTCGAATTTGTTGAGTGTGTTGGCAATGTAGTCCTCCTGCTTAATTTTGAACCCAATCTCGGCCGGCAATAATTCATTGATGCAGACGGTCGGTTTACTGTTTGACAGATTCAGTCCAGCCCCTAAAATTCAATTTCATTCATCGAACAAACTGTAAATGCAAATACATACCATAATGTGAAAATAAGTACGGAGTAGCCTGTTGAAGAGAAGCCGAAAGGAGAACGGCGAAGTCCTTGTCAGGCGAAGACTTTAGAGCGACAACAGGACTTTGTCAGTACGACGTTTGTGTGTAAAATTAGAAGGGGATGGCTGAGTTTGGATGATTTCTTCCACAACAGTTATCACCACGCCAACTTAGGCCATTCGTCCGCATAGAGGGTAGCATCAACAGACATGAGTCTTGAGCCAGGGCACAATTTGAATATCAACACACATTTCAGCTTATACAAGTTGAAAGTGAGATTCCCATGGTCTGTAGCTCGCTCTCGTCAGGAATTATAAAGCACATCTAAATTAGTACTTCAGACTTCGGTCATGATAAACGAGTAGTTGAAAATTGGTATGTCCAAATCTGTACTGAGGCATCATCTTAAAATTTCGACTCTGCAACTGCTGTATTTCAGGAGCGGCATGCAGAATATTATTACGACCATACGAAAAAGTAAAATCTGATGAGAATCTGAGAGGCAGGGCATGCTGCCTGCCTTACTAACTAGTGTGCGTCGCGTGTTGGTGAATGGTGTGTATTTGTACGTGTGTGTATTTTTGTCACAAACCACTCACTGAAAGAATATTTTAAATTTAGATAACTTGGGGCCACTTTTGAAGAGATGATACAAACACAGTAGAATATGCGGTAGGCGCTATCTGGAGCAGTGCAACTCAGGATCTAAAAAGTTGGCTTTAGAACTTCAATTATAAAAAACTTTTGATCTGACAATGAAAAAATGTTTAAAAACATCAAATTAAGATGGGAAAAGTTGAAAACATACCAAGTGTGCAAACCGTTCGGCCATTTATTGTTGTCGCATTCACAATCAGGCCACCCACTTTATGCGTGCGTCCATAATAGAGATCGTTGGGCCACTTTATTTTCATTGGAAAATTCTGAAATTACTGGAAAAAATCACTCAGTCCAATTGTTCAGTGTCGTAGCCGCCTAAGGCGAGCAAAAGTGCCTAGTGATAAGTCGCTGGGGGAGCGTTGCTGTAAACAGCAAAACAAGAATATTAACGTAAAACCTTAAAGTACCAAAATGCTTTGAGTTTCGATATTCCAAGAAACTCACTATGCAGTTACCACTTTGCGCATTCCCTAGAAGTGATGGCCGCTGTGACAAAGCATAGGATCGAGCCCATCAGTGATTTGAAGTAACACATAAGAAGCGAAGGCTGCTTTGACGAAGGCGAAAAAGCACAATTATTAATGAGTGCTGATGTAAGCATTATGTACCTCTAAACGCTCATGAAGCGAGCAAATTCCATCGACAATTGCAACACAGAAAATATGCTGAATGAAGCTGACATTGTTGGCAAGGGATGAATTGGCCGGGATCATGTAATTAAATGAGAACATTGCACAGCCAACAGGACTCA